ATATATATATATATACTGTATATATATAAAGTAAAAACTAAATAGAAATAATATAAAGTCAATTGAAGCTTTGGATGCTTAAATATCTTCAGATTTGTCAGAAACCTTATGATTAGAGTGAAAAGCTGTAGCCGCCCGTTCAAGATCTATGAAGGGTGTTTAAAATACTTTTTTGTATGCCTATGCGTTTCATTGTCTGAGATTTTAAACAATACAAAGCTTTTTATGACATTTTACTAACATAAATTAAACATTTACTTTCAATGCCCTTTAAAAACGTATTTTAGAGCTGATCTCTGTTAAATACTTCACAGCAAACTTTGCAACAACTGGAAGAGAGACGGAGTCTCTCCACACATTTGTAGGTATTTCACTTTGTACTTATTGTCAAGAAAGTGATGAAGCTCTTCGCTGGGAACAAGAACAAAGCCAGGTCTCTTTTTAAGCACTGTAGCCAGGCTGATAAAAGAAAAGAAAAGAAAAATCACAGCTCTGTTGAGCCATCTGTTCCTTTAACTTTCAGTGGTGACGACTCCATAAGATTCTTTACAAAGAAAATTGTTTCTTTAAAAAACATTGCATTCCTTTGACTTTTCTGCTTATATTTCTGGGATTAGAAAAAGGATAATCTGGGCTTAGACTGTCTTTTTACTGTGAGAGAGGAAAAAAAAATAAACTAAACTTCACCCATCAACTTGTCATCCATCTGAACCTGACAAATCAAGATGATTTCTCTTCACAGGTTTTATGACATTTGATATGATCAGTTTATATTCAGTGAAACAATCAATACAAAGAACTGATCCTGTGAGAAGAGTAAAAATCATATTTGAATTGGAGCCTTATTCTTATTTAACAGCTCTGCTAATATCTGTTTGTTTATGTGCATTCAAACCTTTTGACTGAAATTCTATAAATGACACTTTAAACCATTATTGGGCTTAAAGGTATTGCACTAAACTGCTTTAAGTCACTTTTATCTGATAAATAAATTCTTCAGTCTTGCAGGAATCAGTGCTTAAACTGACACTTACTGTAGAAGCTGGCAAAGACTAATTAAATTTTTTTTTAGCTCAGTTGTCTTGAGTGAATTAAATTTTTGCTCATTAAAATAAACTTGCAGAGAAAAACAAATGCTGAAAGAAATGGTTCCTGTTTAACTTTAAAGGAGACAAATGCTTTTAAATCACATTTGAATCCTTCAGTTGGGGTTTTTATAAAGTGGAACTGCAACACTTTGGTCTGAATTCCTCCTTATCCCTTAGCAAAAAGTAGTATACTTGAAGTTCATTTTAATACTTGAGTATAAGTTTAAGTATATCAAGTATGCTAGGCACCATGTACTTGTAGTGTACTAGAAAGTATACTGATTTAATACTTGTTCGTACTAAATTGGGACTTTTTTTGTTAATAAAATGTATACTTTAAGTACTGTTATGATGTCTTTTGTTGGTTTATAAACTTACAAAAGTGCTTACAAAAAGAAGTATACTGAAGTATACTTTAAGTACATGTCATTAAGTATACTAAAGTCAATCAGAACCTTTACTTAAAATAAGTTTTAACTATAAAAAGCAACCAACTCCAAATACACAACACCTCATCCTTTAAAAAAAAACCAACTATGAACAAAAACACTTTAGAAAAAATAAAAAATAAAATGTGCCTGAAGCACATAACAATATAAAATTATATTTCCCTAAGTGTACTTTTATTTACCATTTTTTACCATTATTTACCACTGATATAAGTATACTAGTAGTTTACTAACAAATATACTTCTTGGACTAAATTGGCCAACAGTTTATGAAAACATACTTAGAAGTATACTGAAAGTAATCTAAGTATACTTTTAGTTTAATCTTGAAATATACTACAAATAAACCAGTCTGTGTGAAAAATGTACTTTCAGTGTACTGCTAAAGTTTATCTTGGCCAAAAGTTTAAACATTAGTATAGACTAAGTATACGTAAACTTTTAGCATACTTTTAGTATAGTGTAAGATAAACTTGGTTAAGTATATCTCAGATAAGTACATAAAACGCAAACTGGAAGTATGCTCTTTTATTTTTAGTTTAAAATTAGTATACTTAATGGATACTTGTGTATACCACTTTTTGCTAAGGGATTGTAACTCCACAAGCCCCGCCCCCTTTCTGAGATGTGTCTCAGATCAACTCACTTTGAGGCTGTCTCTTTAAATCCAAACGAGGCGCTTCACAGCTCACACAGAGTGGTCCATAGCAGCGCAGAATGATTTTTATTTAGAAATTAATTAGAAGATGTCAACAAGGGAAGACTTGTCCATCCAGCCATGCATGTTGGAGCCAAAGTCTGACCCAGATGAGAATGAAGACCACCAAATTGTACTTGGTAAGTCCAGACCTTATTTGGAAGTTGTGTCGCAAATTATGTGACATAATAGTTAATAATTAATTATAATAAAAAACAAAGAAAAAAACCTCATAAAACTAACAAAAATAAATCCTCTCTAATATCCACATTCTACATTATGTCCACATGATGCACTCGGTTGTAAATTACCACTGGTCGTAGTCAGCGTCACAGTTGCAGTAGAAGCTGGAGTCCAGACAGTTGTCCTTCAGACCACACGCACACTGCCGGCTGCCAGGTAGAGCTCCTCCCCAGTAATTCTGGACCTGACCCAAGCCTGGACCACCCACCCACCAGCTGAACGGAGCACCGTCTTTAAACACACAGAACATAAAATCACTTGTTTCACAGCTGAGAAAAAGCTAAACTGCAGAACAGATTAACAAAACGAAAGCGACTGATTTCCACACCGACCACTGAAGGCAGGACTGTTGCATCGTCACGTTGTCCTATTTGTAAGCACACAGACAGAGCGGGGTGCGGGTCGAAGCTGATGCGCCTCTGATACACCTCTTAGCAATCAATAGAGTATTTCACGGAGACAAATTGGTGTGTGAGAAATTGCCCTGTATGTTGGACCTCAGTGCTCTGACCAAAGATGCTGTCATCGCTCGGCTGATTCCACTACCCCAGCTTCCATTTACTGAGCCCTCACTGATGAGCTGCTGAGCACAACAACCAAAGGCAGCTTTGAGAGGATTTTATTTTATTTTATTACCAACACGGCATGACTGCTGTGTGAAAAGAGCTAATGAGTCCTGCGAACACAGAGGCAGATGTTGTCTGTGAAACGTGTCCGACCTTCGACTGTTACTCATCTATCTTTTCATTTCATTTAACAGCTAATTTAAATGAATCTTCTCGCTTAAATTGAATTATTCGTTTGAGTGTAAAATTGTGGATTTCATCATGCCCAGCTTCTGTTCTTATTAGTGTTCCATTTGGAAAATCTAACACAAATCTTTAGGCTCTTAAAACTCTGACATCCTTCCATCCTTTTGTTATTCTCAAACAAAGCTAATCACTGACTCTTTAGACGTTTTTTGCATCGTAAGGCTCGGCCTGCCCTTACTCTGCTTCAGCCCTGGTTGTGTTTGGATTGAGCAGAGAGCTGTCTCGATGTAATCTGGATCATATTTAATATGCACAATCTTGGTTCGCTTTATTTGTGACAAAACAATAATGGACAACACCAAACTCAAAGGAAAAGTAACAAATATTGAACCGAACCACCAGCAGTATGAGGGCGCAGGACAACAGAGAGTAAGCTAATGTTAGCTTGTTGTTAGCTCGCTACAGTTGTTGTGCAGTAAAACTCAAAAAAACATACTGTAGCTGTTATGGGCGCCAAGTGTAAGACACATTTTATTATTTAGCTCACTTTTTGAGGATTAAAAATTTTCCACTAAAATCTTCTAATTTAGTTCACTGTTTTTCAT